GAAATGGGAGAATAGGAAGAATTCGTTTGCCTTTCCACTAGAAAATTTCGGCATTGTGGAGAGTGGAGGACCTGTTGCATGGGTAACAGCTTCTCCTCCATATTGACCTATCCAGGCTTTGCGCCCTGGAGAGGGCACTCCACCCTCGACAACCTGGATGCCTACTACTATTACTATGGCGTAGCGGGGGTGTATAGGTCACGTAACCTTCCTACACCATTGACGCTATCGCTGGCAGGGTGGCCATGGTTCTGTGCTAGTCGGTGATACCCTGGCAGTCTGGGTTCGACACCTCTGGGTGCAGTGAAAGTCCCGCCACCACCGAGAGTCCTGTAAACACCGCTGGTGTAGTGAAAGTCCCGCCGACAACACCGGTTGATACAGACACCTGTCGCTCAGTATTTCCTCACTAAAGAATAGTCCCGTCAGGTCGTTGAGACTTCCCGTCACCACAAGCGGAACCTTCACAAGGATACAAGTCTCATGTTCCATTGTCCAATGTGATGAAGCACTTGCGTCTCACCGCTCACACCCTGGGATTATATAGCCCCGTCACTGCCAATCTTTGCAGTGAAGAATGGCACTTTCCTTGAGGTCTGAGGTCTGCAGGCGAGGAGTCACAATAACGTGGCTGAAGTATGTTGACCAAGCCACACACTAGAAGGTGAAGGGACGACGACGTTTCGGTCCGTCCTGGACCATTTTCAAGTCGATTGTCCTGGACCATTCTCGAGTCGATTGTGTCAATCGACTTGAGAATGGTCTTGAGGTTATCTTGAGATGATTTCGGGGCTTTTAGTGTCCCCGCGGCCCGGTCCTCGACCAGGCCTCCACCCCCAGGAAGCAGCCCGTGACAGCTGACTAACACCCAGGTACCTATTTTACTGCTAGGTAACAGGGGCATTCAGGGTGAAAGAAACTGCCCATTTGTTTCTGCCTCGTGCGGGAATCGAACCAGCGCCGCAGAATTACGAGTCCTGCGCGCTATCCACCAGGCTACGAGGCCACTCCAACCGGTCCAGGACGGACCGAAATGTCGTCGTTCCTTCACCTTCTAGTGAAGTGTCATCTGAGGTGTCAATTACCTAGGTGTGGTGGAGGGGCAGAAGGATCGCTGGGGTTATCAAGGAGTACAACAACCCACTTCTCAACTAATTGCTTGTGTAACCTCATCACTAACAACGTCACAAGTACAACCTACGATGAGAAATATCGGCTTACAACTCGTTCTATACAACGAACTCGATACGTTAGGTGCGTTTGCTTGGGTTCGAACGTGTCTGGTAAGCTAGGGAGGTTAGAGAGCACATCCTCCAGGTGGTGGGTGACGCCAAACACCACCCAAGACACCCCTTGAAGGTATCCCAACTGGGGTCACCTGCGGGGTAACACCCAACATAACCATACTCTAAATAAAAAACAACAAATTCTCGTATATAAATTAATATTATATTTTAGAATTTTGTGTGTAGTTAGACCTTCTTCTTGAGGCTATCTTGAGATGATTTCGGGGCTTAGCGTCCCCGCGGCCCGGTCCTCGACCAGGCCTCCTTTTTGTTACATATGATACATTTTATTCGTACGGATGTCAGGAAGTGTCCGTGTACACGTGACGTCAGGTGTGTGTTAAGCAGTTTGGTGTTCGTGACTGTGTGGTTGGTGGGGGGGGGAGAGAGGGGGGCGAGAAATCCCCTGGATCAATAATGCGGTGGTCCGGTCATTTCCAAGGCTTCGGTCGCTGTTGTTGATGCTCACTATAGGTGATTAATGGGCCGGTTGTGGCTCCGTGTTGGGGGCCGGTTGTGGTTCCGTGTTGGGGGCCGGTTGTGGCTCCGTGTTGGGGGCCGGTTGTGGCTCCGTGTTGGGTGCCGGTTGTGGCTCCGTGTTGGGGGCCGGTTGTGGCTCCGTGTTGGGGGCCGGTTGTGGCTCCGTGTTGGGGGCCGGTTGTGGTTCCGTGTTGGGGGCCGGTTGTGGCTCCGTGTTGGGGGCCGGTTGTGGCTCCGTGTTGGGGGCCGGTCCGTGTTGGGGGCCGGTTGTGGCTCCGTGTTGGGGGCCGGTTGTGGCTCCGTGTTGGGGGCCGGTTGTGGTTCCGTGTTGGGGGCCGGTTGTGGCTCCGTGTTGGGGGCCGGTTGTGGCTCCGTGGTAGATGGCTCTTTGCAAGGGCTGACACCCCCCCCCCTCCCCCTCTCCCTGTTGTCGGAACGTTATTACGGCTCTGTGAAGGCAGATTAGAGCTGTCTCTGTGCAGATCTCGGCTCTGTGAAGGCAGATTAGAGCTGTCTCTGTGCAGATCTCGGCTCTATTATGTGTCATTAAAGGCTTCTTCCTGACATAGATTATGGCGCGGTGTTGGAGCCTAATATAGATACTTTTGGGTCAGATTATATCTGGGGATGACACAAATAACTATAGCTACCCGAGGGCTATGTTTAGCACGGGCGGCAGTCTGGATCAATGTTTCGCTGCAGGTATATACACGCACGTCAGACCAATTCGGGAGTATGCAGCCCTATCGTGGAGCAATGGGATGGAGAGATTGGTCGGGTGAAACTGCGTAACACATCCGGCAACTGGAAACGCGGGATCCAAGAGCTTGTTCGATCCTGCAATTACAAACAGGTGAATGCAAATTCAATCCATGCGCGAGTGCTGCGCACACGCGCGCATGCACGCGCAGTCTCCCATGCACACACACACACGTCACTAATGAGCCGGACCGGGAGTTTGTCCATGTCCTTCTGTAACTTACTGCAGTCACGAACAGCACCGCTCCTGTGCCAGGTAAGTTACGGGCTCACCATAGCCCGTGCTACTTGCCCCGCTCCTGTGCCAGGTAAGCTACGGGCTCACCATACTTGCCCGTGCTACTTCACCATAGCCCGTGCTACTTGCCCCGCTCCTGTGCCAGGTAAGCTACGGGCTCACCAT